TCTGAAGTCAGAATGACTGGGTTATAGTACTAATTTCCTCTCTTACTAGCTGTATGACCTTGGGCAAATTAGCTTTCCTGTGCCACCATTAAATGGAAATAATAATAGGTGCCATGACGTGAAGTTGTTATGAAAATCAAATGAGTTAATAATGCTGTATATGCATCACAAGAGTACCTGGCACATAGTGAATGCTTTAAGAACTACTGCTGCTGTTAATTGTTTTGACTACTTAAATAGACAAGTGTTGGTGATAGTTTGGATGGAGAAGAGGAGGGAACTTTCAAAGACAATTGACAGGTAACCGGCTTGTGTACAAGGTACTTGGTGGTACCAGTGCTCAAGATGGAGGAAACTGGGGAGAATGAGGATTTGAGGGGAATATCAAGAATCTTATTTTGGAGCTGTTTGGATGGATGTGAGATATCTGAGTGGAGATGTCAGGCAGCTAGAATCTGGTGCTCAGAGTAGCGTCTTGGGCCAGAGATAGAGCTGATATTCAAAATCAAACTGAAATATACTGGAGAAATTTGCATAACAGCAGTTATAAATAATACAACCTTGTCCTGGACCAGCCAATAGGATGTCAGGACAATTTAACGAGCCCAATTTTCTTGGGAGAGGTGGCAGTTATAGGAAAAAGAGTGTAAACATTGTAATCAAACAGACTATCTTTTGAAATTTATCTCTCCATTTACTATTTGAGTGACCACAAATAGTTACAAATGGGTTAGAGAGGAGGGGTCATGGACAGTCCCCAGGTTCCTGCTTGAGCGCCAGGCGGTTTATAGAGCCAGTTCCTGGGATGGAGGAAAGTGGAAGGAGGCATGTTCTTCAGAGTGTCATCTTTCTCTGCAGAAGATTAGTAGGCCATCCTCATAGGTGAGGACCAAAGGAATGTACACTGGCACATACTACATGCTCAGTAATGATTTTCTGGGATGATTTGGACACTTCTCTCCTTCTCAACTCCACTGTAAGCATCTCCCCCCCGCCCCCCAGCCTGCCTAGATTTTTAGATGAAAATGTTGGGTGGGAACCATGAAGTGACAGGGCAGGGCCAGGACTAGGGTGAAGCAAGTGACGCACGCACCTTGGGCACCAAACAGAAGGGAGTGTCAAAAATCCAAGCAATCACAACAAATATTATTTTAATGCACTATTTTTAAAATTCAAAACCAATGCACAAATACCCATGAGAAATTAAATATTAATGTTTAAATAAACACAGAATCGGTATTACTGATTTCTTCTTTCACCTCAAGATCTGTACTGGGAAAAGGTGAATGCTTACTCCGCAGCCCCCAAGACTCCTTCTCATTTCTCCCATAGTTGGTAGCTAAGGGCTAGTCTTCAGCCTGGTGTAATCCAGTCATCTCTAAATGCTGACAACTTCAGAGTGTATTCTAACATCTGTGATACTGGGCACAATTGAGGTTGGGGTTTAGGCTCCTACCAGCCCAGCCCCTGACCCTTTTCTATCAGTTGCAACATGGGAGTTGGAGCAAGGTTCCCCAGTTCACCCCATGTCAGTAAACCCAGCCCTTCGACCCCAGCACTGTTGAGCAAACACAAAGTAAAATAACCCAATGCTCTATTAAAGGCTGAGGTTTAAAGGTCAGCTTTGTGCTTACTGGCTGAGAGTCTGATTCACTACCTAAATGACTCTCAGGGAGCTCTGTGCTTGCAACATGGAGTGAGGAGATGAGAGTTTCCATTCAGAGTGAGGAGCTATTTGCTTTATAAGGAGCTGTCATTGCCAACAGGAAAACAGCAGATCAGGAGCAGGCAGAAGCGAATGGAGGTCCCCATACCAGAAATTCTTCCTTCTGATTTGACTCTGACTTTTGAAAGCTAAAAGTACATGTAGGCCGGACCCAGTGGCTCACACCTGTAATCCCAGCACTTTGGGAGGCCAAGGTGGGAGGATCATGAGGTCAGGAGTTCAAGACCAGCCTGGCCAACATAGTGAAACCCCACCTCTACTAAAAATACAAAAAGAATTAGCTGGGCGTGGTAGTAGGCGCCTGTAGTCCCAGCTACTTGGGAAGCTGAGGCAGGAGAATCACTTGAACCCAGGAAGTGAAGGTTGCAGTGAGCTGAGGTCCCACCATTGCACTACAGCCTGGGTGACACAGCAAGACTTTGTCTCAAAAAAAAAAAAAAAAAAAAAAAAAGAAAGGTACGTGTAGTGGCTCGTAGCTTTCAACTCAACTCTTTCCCAGGAATATCTGAAAATCTCCAACTGAAATAATTTGGTAATTTAGACATCGTTGGTAAGTGGATAAATAATTAAGGATAGACTTGTCACAGCTCATATGTATCACAAGTAAATAATTGCGGAGTTTTGACCTTGTGGGTCACTTTTGCTATAACAAAAGCCAGGTGTGGGAAAACAACATTTTTAAAGTTTTATTATTTAAGCATTTTGATTTCACTTTAAAGAAAAACTTGTCTAAATTTTAGAACATTTTGCTGCAAATATAACAGACTCTCTGATACACATTGATGAATGATTCTGAAACAATAAAAGGAAAGAGAAAAAGCTGCATGGATTAGATCCGAGCTGCTGTGGCACACTGGCACTTTAAGATTGCAACATTTTGTTTGGTGACCTTCATACCAGTTGACTGTATGCACCTTAATCTCTTTCTCAAAAAAAAAAAAAAAAGTGGAGCCTACTATAGATTGGTCTTTTTTTGTTAACCCCAGTTTTTCATTTACCTACACTTTATAACACCTGGTTTAATTTGTACAAAAGAATGAAGTTCATTATTGCATAACTCAGAAACTTGTCTTTGAGATTTTAGGAACAGTAAGTATAAAGGTTGTCATGAATTGAGACTGAAAGACCTCATAGATAAATCAGGTGGGACATTTTTAAAAGAAAAAATAAATAATGCTTCAGAAAAATGTAGAATATGTACGTAAATGCGCAAATGGAAAGAAAATGTCACTTTTTGTAATTAGGTTTCTTTCAGAATTTGACACTCATAAGTAAATGTTCAGAGGAAATAAACATCAGGGCAAATCAGTTTTTGTGAGGGTTGCCAATGTAAATGTGGGGTCTGCTGTAAGTTTTGCTGTTCATTTACCTGCCTCTCTGCAGGAATATTTTTTTTTTTAGTATTTAGTCCTTATTTCCTAAGAATAAATACAAAGACTTTTCAGACTATGAATAATATCACATGGTCTCTAAGCTACAGTTGTACATTATACCCATGCAAATTTTCTTTCTTAAATAATTAAATGAGTTGTATAAAATAAGAATCTTAAATATTAAGTTATGATGCTTTCTTTAAAGTGGTCCAGTTTCCTTCTTTTCTCTCCCTTCCTTCCTCTGTTTTCTTCCCAGCTAACTCCCCTCCTCTCTTTCTTCTCCCCTTCCTCTTTCTTCCCTCCTTTTCTTCCTTCCTCATTCATTCATATAATGTTCATTTGAATGCTTAGATATTAGATTGTCTCATTTCTACCTCTATGATTATTACTTATAAATCAAAGCAGTAAGTCCCACTAAGAACCTAAAAGCCAAGATAGTGTCTTTTTTAAATCTCCTATTATTCATTCAAACTTCATCTTCTTTTTTTTCATTACTACAAGTTATTACTAAAACCAGCACAGAAAAGCTTATCACTATATTGCCTCCTTTGAATTAAGATAGTCTCCCATATTTGGGTTTTAGTGAAAAGATAAGGCTAATAGTCTTTGGACCGTCTTCCCTATTTTGAAAAATCTTCACTCACATCCCTAAACCATATGCAAATAGTCACAGAATTTGTAGGCAAGCATTGTGCAGAAAACCATTAACATGACTTTCAGTTTTCAGGAGGGAAAGTCAAAAATTCCATGGCAAATTAGAGCTGTTGGACTAAATGTTGGTCTATTAATAAGCAGAAAGAAAAATTTATTTTCCCTGCTGAGTTAATATATAGTACTGCTGTCTTTCCACCAGCGGTGTTCTCCAGCTGGGTTACATGGTCCTGGGAATTTCCTCCCAAAATGCCCATTTCTGTCAACCAGCCATCGGACCTTCCTGAGGAGAGTTAATGTGACAGTGGTGAACATATTGAATTTTAATATGAAAGTGACCTTCCCTGATGTCAGAAATGGGTCATATATATGTGAAATCCATGACAATAGTTGAGAACAGAGTTAAAATAAGGAAGATTCATTATATTGGTATACAGTGCTCACCGTACTTGTACTGAAATATGCCTATAAGTAGCTTGCCTTCAAGAATTTTTAATAATCATTTCTAAAGAGCTGATTTTCCCTTTCATACTTTGTCTTTCATTGGCCGACTTTACAGTCACCCTCTAACTAGCCACGTGGCTACCCATCACTCCCTCTGTCAAATTCAGAATTTTGCCTTTGCCTTCATACTCAATCCATTCCTGCTTTGACTTCTTCTGTCTTACATCTGTCCTTGACCTTATTTTGGCTGTTTTGTTTGCCATTCTCTAAATTCGCACCTTTCTGGCCTGCTTTTGCATGGGCTCCTCTGTCATTTATTTTTAACTGGTGGCACAGAGTCCTTCCCTGTCATCCTCTGGCTTGTATTCCCCTTCCTCTCCAAAGCCAGTGGCAGGGGTTTTCTTTCTCTGAAAGGGCATTTCTATGTTTGAATATTAGTTTTCATAACCAGAACTTGCTGACGCTTGAACATTTAATATACATTTAGCCAAACAAACTGAAGACCAAAACAAAGACCAAGATTTTTTATGTTTTGTAGCCTCATGACAGGTACTTAATGGGTTGTGTTTATGTTCAGGAAATGAACTTTTAGGTTGTCGAGATGGGAGGTATACAAGTATATTTTAATAAAGGCCCCTGTCTAGGCTGCTTCTGTAGCCAATGGAAGGAAGCAGAACAAGGCCTGCTTATCTGTGTATTTTAGCTTTCCTAATTGATAACAAGTGCCTCTGAAAAATTGTTTATATAGTTATCTAAAGTAATCGTTAATGACCAACATTGTACCTTTCATTCTGTTTAACCTCTTTTGGTATTATTGCTTTTCTCAGAGTTGAGCAGTAATTGTTTTTATAATGGAGACTTTTAAAAGATTTTTTTCAATAGCATTTTGATCCCTGAATTGTGTTTCTATGTGATTATGCTGATTATTTCATATATCTGAGTCTTTATAAAATTAAGTTGTACTTCCACCTTTAATGATAAATCTCCAGTGAAAACCAAGAGAACTCAAGAGAATCTGATCATTTCTGCATTTGGAATGTGTCAGGGGTCAGGGTTCGGGAAATGGGACATGTGGAAAGAAGGATTCATAATTCAGTGGTCACCCAAATGGTATCATAAGAGTTTGAGCTATAAAGAAAGAAGTAGTTGCTTCTTGCTGACCAAGAAGATTGCTGCAGGTTTCAAAGAAAGAGAGAATTCGTCATCAAGGGCAGGAAGGTACTTCATAAATAATTACCAAATGAAGTGGTCGTGATGACTCCTGCTCTCTTTCCTTGAAACCTGTTAACAATCTTGATGGTCAGCAAGAAGCAATTACTTTTCTCTCTATAATTCAAATTCCTCCAATACCATTTAGGTGATCATTAAATTATGAAAACTTCATTCCCCATCTCCTCCCATTTGCCGAGCGCTGACCCCTCACACATTCTATGGGCTAAAATGGTCAGACTCTCGAGTTTTCTTGGCTTTCATTGCTAATTTATTATCTGATGCCTCCTCACCTATTTCTCTCCAGGACTCCCCTCCAGGATTTTAGAGTTTTGTTATATAGTACTTTAAATTTCCGTTAAGCTTGAAATCATTCATTTCAAAGAAAAGGGTCATATTGCCTCTGACTATACACAGGATAAACAGAAGTAAAGATATCCCTGTGTCATCATGAAAACAAACAGCTGACAATTAAACTTATTAACAAATTCACAGGACAAGATGAAACGAAAGGTATTCTCTCTGAGATCAAACCCTCCCATTAGTTCAAAGAAGGGCGTAGCATGACAAAGTTATCTCCTAGGTTCACTGCAGGTTCACTTAGACCTGTTTGAGTTGTTGAGATTATTTTAAGCTCAGGAATTAATGTTTTAAAATGGCTAAACCTAGTTCATTGTTATAGACTACAAAATATTCAATCATACTTAAGGGTTGTTGGGGTTTTCTCATGGTAATGTATTATAATTGATAACATTCATTAATTGCTTCACTTTTTTTCCTAATTAAATTTTAAAAATAAATGCATAACAGCTCTTTGAAATTTGATTGATTTGACTTAAAAACTAATTGGAAAGGGGAGTCTGTGCCTACTAATTTTATAATTAAAATACATGTTGCTATAGAGTTTCCATCTACTTTTAATTCCTTCATTTCTTATAAAAATGGAGGCCATATTTGCATAACTGTGTCCCCTGTAATCATGGGAGACTGGGAAGTTGCAAAAAATACTTTGCAAGGACAACAACTATCTTGACTCTTCTGCCTATTTCCTTGTAAAGATCTCTGTGATTATTTTGGGCCCACCCAAATAATGTAGGATAAGCTCCCCATCTCAAGATCCCTACCTCAATCACATGTGTAAGTACTGCCACAGAAGCTAACTTATTCACAAATTTCAGGATAAAGGTGTGGACATCTCCAAGGACCATGATTTCGCTGCCCACACTCACATTATATTACCCAGAACCATGGAGGGCACCCCATAAATATTCCTGAATATTGTTGAGTGATCACATGAGATGGTTTCAAAAAGCTCCATGAATTATACTTGTGAAGGAGAAATAGACTTCTGATGTCATAATCACAGGAGGCCTTGCAGGAATTTTCAAGAGTATACTTTTTTTTTTTTTTTGAGAAAGATCTTTCCAATGTAGATCATGTTATGGAATGATAATTTAGCAGCAGCAGAATGCATTTTTGCAGAAACACTCAAATACACATAATTCCCTTGATAATAACTCAGTATACTGACCTCTCTCCAAACCTCCTTTCTGTTTTGTTGCGACCAGAATTTGAGTGGAAGGAAAAGAGATTGGCAGAGGTAAGCAGGAAGAGGCCAGAGTGGAAGGAGCAGAGAAAGAATTAGCCAGATCTGATAGAGAGATGGCTTCTGGGACAATTCTTTTCAGAGGCAAAGATGGCTGATGGGACACTCATTTTCCTCTGAGATCATGCAGTAAAACTAGAGGAATATAAAAAGCAAAGGCTTTCTTACTTCCTTAGAAGATCATAACTAGTGTGTCCAGCTTCTGATTTCTCTTTACAATATTGTTTCTATTCTTTAATAAATTTTATTCTGATATTCAGTGTAGAAAATAAAAACTGCCTATTTTAGTATTCAGAGATAGCAGCTGTAACATTTTGGCATATTTTCTTCCGGTTTTTTTCTTTGGATATGTGATTACGTCACAGAATCACAATTGTGGTCTAGACAAAGTTTATGTCTTATTTATGTTCACTTGACTGGGAAAATTTTCTCATCACATTAAATATTTTTCGAAACATGATTATCCAATGACTGTATAATATTGCACTTTTGGATGTACCTCTATGGTTGAATGTTTTTGTTTCTGCCTAGAATGAATGATATGACCTTGACTAGCCTTGTGTTACATCTTTTGCCACCTTCTTAATTGTTTCTATTGGATAGTTCCTAGGAGAGGCAACCAGAGGGCATGGATGTTTTAACAATTCTTCTTACATGTGGCCAACGATATTAATTTATACACCTACTGTCAGTGTCATGACTATTTCTCCTCACACTCAACAACATTAAGCATTAATCATTTTTTAAAATGTTGAATGCTTATGGATAATTATAAGGATTTTTGGTAACTTGTTGATCTATGTTCTTTGCCCATTTATCCATTGAGATGTTGACATCTTGCATATGAACTATCTTTGTGTGTTATGTCTCTGGAAATTATTTTTCCAGTTTGGTGTTTGTCTTTTGAGCATTATGCTCTCTGATATATGACTGTGTTTCACCTTTGCTACTCCAGTCAAATCCACTATTACTCTGATACATTTCACTACTTATATGTTTAGAAATTATTTGCTAAGTTCAATAGCTGATAAATAACCACCTGTATTTTATATAATCCTTCACTATTTTATTTTAAAATTTACTATAAAATTTATTTGTATTATTTTAACATATAGTTTGAGACAGCAGCATATATTTTAAACTATTTCAATAGTTAATTCGATGTCATTTATTAAATGAATGCTCTTGTCTTCACTGATTTGTGATTAAATTTATCTTTTAATTAGTATATATGTTTCTGTATCTGGGCTCTCCATTTCCATAACCATCTATTGATTATCGTAGCAGAACCATATTATAGTTTATATGTCCCATGGTAATTTGTATTATAGTCTGTTTCTGATATGGCGGCCCCTAACCCTTTCATATTTCTGTATTTTAAATTTATCTTAGCAATTATTATCTCAGGATTCTTTAAGGTAAATATTGGAATTAATTTTCAAATTTAAAAAATTTTGGGCTGGGCGTGGTGGCTCATGCCTATAATCCCAGCAGTTTGGCAGGCCGAGGCAAGTGGATCACTCGAGGTCAGGAGTTCAAGACCAGGCTGACCATCATGGTAAAACCCTGTCTCCCCTAAAAATACAAAATTAACCAGGTATCGTGGTGCACGCTTGTAGTCCCAGCTACCTAGGAGGCTTAAACCGGGAGGCAGAGGTTGCAGTGAGCCGAGATCATGCCATTGCACTCCAGCCTGGACAACAAGAGCGAAACCCTGCCTAAAAAAAAAAAAAAAAAAAAACTTGGTGTACTTTGTACAGAATTATGTGCAAGTTATGAATTATTTGGGAAAAGTTTGCATCTTTACAATTGTCAGTCATTTCAAAATATCTCTTTGTGTTTTCAAGTCTTATGTAATGTGACCAAAAAATCATTTCTTTGTAGAAGTCCTGCATGTTTCTTTTTAAGGTTATTTCTAAGTATTAGATACTTTGTAATTACTTTTGAGATTATTTAAAATATTGTTTTCTAATTGGCGGTTACTGTTATATGAAAGCTACTGCTTTTAATATTTTGATTTTTGATTCTATTTATTTGTTAATGCTAATTATTTTTCATTTAGTTATTCTCAGTTTTATTTATAAACAGTTATATAATAATCAAATAATGACTCTCTCACCTTTCCAAGTAATGTATCTCTTCTTTGTTGATTGTATCCTATAATATTAGCCAGAATTTTCATAGCAATGTTCAAAATACTCACCAGCATTCTACTCTTATCTTGTTTCTGATTTTAACAGCTATTTATTTGATGATAGATTTTTTTCTAACCATGTTAAAGGAATTTTACTGCACTCCTAATATGCTGAGAATTTTTTAAATAAAAAACTGGGTTTGGGGATACTATAAAATGCCTTTTAGATTATTTTAGTAAATTATTATCCATGAGGAGAATATAACATGGAAGCTGGAGCATGGGATTCATGGCCAGACACAACAGAAGTCAGATTATATCTCCTCCTCTTAGAATTGTGTAACATTAAGCAATTTATTTGTTCCCTTCCAATTTCAGCCTCTTACTCTGTAATATGAAGATAATCATGTAAATATCTTGTGAGGATATTATGAGTATCCAGTCAGAATTATTTATAATGTGTTTAATATCAGACTTGATACAGAGTATCATAGTTTCTTTTAAATTATTGTGCAAGTTTTGCCTTTGATCTATTAAAATGGTGTACTATAATTATAAATTTCCTAATATTTAATCATCTTTTTATTCTTGGAGTAAAGCCTACTTGGCCCTGATGAAATGTTTCCTTAACTTACTGCTGTATTCCATATTTGTTTGAGATTATTGCATCAATTTTCATAATGATTTGGTCCTTAGTTGAATTGTTATGCTATCTTATTAGTTTTGATATCAAAATTATGTAAATTGTATTTAATGATTAGAAAGATTTTATCATGTCCTGTGTTCTGCACCTATGGGAATTATATTTTCATCATCATTTTTTTTCCTCTGAAATTCTCTGCATCAGGATTAATTTTTGAACAAGATAATGCTTTTATAACTTTTACAGATTTTTACAGATTGCTTTGTCTAATCAATTCATCTATTCAGTGTTTCTTCTTCTATTTGTGGCAATTT